ACCAGAGGGAGCTGCATTCCTGTATCCCTTTCTTACTGAGGGGTTAATTGTGAATAGATACCATTGAGACAAGAGGAAAAAGTTGTGAAAAGAATAATAAGGTGAATAATACATTCCTTAATTAAAAAAAAAAAAATCCTCGTATTTAAATAAAAAAAAATGTACTCTCTTAATAAAAATAAATCGCAGTATGTTGGACTGAGAAGAGCAGCTAGTAATGGAGCAGCTAGTAAAAGAGCAGCTAGGAATATGACATATTGAAAATGACAAATTTTGGTATATTTCTGGTCAATTAAGCAAGTTTTGCAAATACAATAAAATAAGCTTTTCACAGATGTTGAAATAATTTATTTGCAGAAGTCTATATCTATATTGTCATTTAATTTAATAGGCAAACAAGATCACTGATCTTTCTAATCTGGTATTATGTATCCAGCTGTGACCAAGATCCTAAGGCGTTATTTTAATTGTTGTAGTCATCTGTCATTCTCTTTATTGTACTGCATGAAACGAGTAGAGTTTTTCATCAGGCAGTCCCATAATGATGTCAGTTTTCTGAAGTGTTAAAAATACTCTGGAATATTCATTCTATATAATGGAATTAATTTTGATTCCTTACTCTTCTAACACATTACCTATAAATTAAGTGTAATGAGATCAGTAACATTATTTTTTGTCATAAGATTTTTTTTTTAAAATTTATTTGAGTTATGGCACTTTGTTCAGTGTTATCACTCGTAACTGTATTTTTTATAATCCATTCAAAATTGAAGATGTATTCATATGAAATACATGCAGAGACATCAACATAAACAAATACTGGGCTATAAATGTTGTATACATATATATGTTCACAGGTAGTATTCTTTTGAAGGGAAGTTGTACATTTCATTTGAAGCGAACATTTTGCTTTGCTTGAAAAAACTTTTAGTTAAATATACTTCAAGCTAAATAAAGAGACTGCCAACAGGCATGTAGATAGAGACATTGTGGTTGGCATACCACTTCAAATGCCACAGGTTGTTTTTAATGTATTTTCCATTTGAGGATTAGTGTTCGTAAGCATAGGCAAATTATTCCGTGCAATATGTTTGTGGCTGTGTGCAACATAATGAGAAGATTTTTGAGACAGATTATTTGCAACTGGAGCTCATTAATGAGGTAGCAGAATTGTAAGCCTGATGAAATGATATAGATAAAACAAACTGTAGCCTTAAAATACACCTATAAAAGGGAAGTTGTTGGATTTCAAAGCCCTGCAATTTACTTTTTATTCTTTGTATGAAATTTTACACTTGATTTTAATTTTAATTTGCACGTCTGCATTTTATGAGTTGTCTAATTAAATTGAATAATATATCTGAATGTCTGGTTTAATGTATTATCTGAAATACGTTTAAGTGGTGGTAAATGTATATTAGAAGTTCAGTAATCCTGTTCTTAGTGGATCGCATTTTTAAGTAATTTCTCTTGCTTCAGATACAGGTTAAAAATCATAAACTTTTCAGAGTTTCAAGACATGTATTAGAAAGTCTTATGTTAAGTGAGTTGCCAGCTAAGTAGACTTTACTGACTTTCCATATCTATTTTACTGTGGCCTGGTACTTAAAGACAAAGGTGTAAAGAATGGCTGCACCTTTGATCTGCTTCTCACTCTGGCTAATAGCAATTGCTCCAAGAATGAGAGCAATGCAAGCATGGGCGATACTCCTACTAATCTCCCAGCCTCCAACTCTTTCCAGCGTGGAAGCCTCTTCAGCCAGCTGGGGCTTCTGTGTATTTATTAACACTCAGTGTATTTCTTTTCCATGACCTGGTGTTGTCGGCAAACTTTAATCTCTTTTTTTCAGGTCGTTTATGGATATCGTGAATAGCAAAGGTCCCAGTACAGAAACAGGTGAAAACTCACCTTTCTCAACTGTGAAGACCAGTTGTTTACTCCTATCCTCTGTTTTGTACCTTTTGGGGAATTATTTATCTGTGCCACGTCTTTTCTTTTTTTATGACCTAGCTGTTAAGTGTCCCTCAAAAGCTGTGATTAAGGGCTTTCAAAACTCTCTTGGAAATCTAACTGATCATAGCTCTTCATCCATGTGCTTATAAACACTTCAGGGATGTACTGGGTTTGCGTGGCAAGGTTTTGGTAGCCAGGGGGGCTACAAGGATGGCTTCTGTGAGAAGCTGCTAGGAGCTTCCCCTGTGTCCAATAGAGCCAATGCCAGCCGGCTCCAAGACAGACCCACTGCTGGCCAAGGCTGAGCCCATCAGCGATGGTGGTAGCACCTCTGTGGTAACGTATTTAAGAGGGCTGGGGGAAAACTGCTGCACAACAGCAGCCACAGGAGAGGAGTGAGAATATGGGAGAGAAACAACTCTGCAAACACCAAGGTCGGTGAAGAAAGAGGGGTAGGAAGTGCTCCAGGTGCTGGAGCAGAGATTCCCCTGCAGCCCACGATAAAGACCATGGTAAGGCAGGCTGTTCCCCTGCAGTCCATGGACATCCATAGTGGGGCCAATATCCACCTGCAGCCTGTGGAGGCTCCCACGCCAGAGCAGGTGGATGTGCCTGAAGGAAGCTGTGACCCCATGGGCAGGCTGCACTGGAGCAGGCTCCTGGCAGGACCTGTGGACCCATGGAGAGAGGAGCCCACGCTGGAGCAGGTCTGCTGGCAGGACTTGTGACTCCATGAGGGACCCACGCTGGAGCAGTCTGTTCCTGAAGGACTGCACCTTGTGGAGAGGACCCTCGCTGGAGCAGTTTGTGAAGAACTGCAGCCTATGGGAAGGATCCACACTGGAGAAGTTCATGGAGGACTGTCTGTCATGGGAGGGACCCCATGCTGGAGCAGGGGAAGCGTGTGAGGAGGAAGGAGTGGCAGAGAAGACGTGTGATGAACTGACCACAACCCCCATTCCCCATCCCCCTGCGCCACTTGGGGGAAGGAGGTAGAGAAATCAGGAGTGAAGTTGAGCCCATGAAGAAGGAAAGGGTTGGGGGAAGGTGTTTTATTTCTCATTACCCTACTCTGACTTTTGATTTGCAGCAGATTAAATTAATTTCCCCAAGTCAAGTCTGATCTCTGCCCATGATGGTACTTGGTGAGTGATCTCCCTGTCCTTATCTTGACCCACAAGCCTGTTGTCATATTTTTTCTCCCCTTGTCCAGCTGAGGAGGTGGAGAGATAGAGCAGCTTGGTAGGCACCTGGCATCCAGCCAGGGTCAATCCACCACAAGAGATTTCACTGTACAAAAGTTATGTTTTCTCTTCTCCAACAAATCATCCACGTGTCAGCTAATACAGTTCTTCATAATGATTTATACTAATTTGTCTGGATGTCAGGCTTACAGGCCTATAGCTCTCAGGATGCTCCATGAAAAAATTTTGAACCTTACTGTTGTTCTTGCCACCTTTCAGCATGTATTACGGAGATTTAAAAATGTTACCAATATTTTACTGGTAATTTTGTCGATTTAGTTTTGTAATTTTTGTATAGTTACTTCGGTCTCTTTGAGCGTCCCACAAAGAATGCATGAGGATCTCTCTTGTTCCTTTCACTGAACACCAGTGGAAAGTGTTAATTTAACTTGTATGCAGTGATCTTGTCTTCTCTGAATACTCCTTTATACCTTCATTACCAGTTGGCTCTACAGACTCCCTGGCAGGCTTTCCTGCTACTCGTGTCTTTGAAGAAATATTTATTATTAGTTTAGTAGTTGTTCCTCAGGCTAGATTTTGGGGTTTTATGTTTAATATGCCAGAATTTATGATCCTTTCTATTTTCTTCATCTGTACAGTTCTTCTGATACCTCCTTTTATATTCTGCTGTTTATAGTCATGCTGGTTTTCTATTGCCATTACCTGCATCTTAATAAATTGTATGTGCTGGCCTTGTGCTAACCACACAGTATCTTTAAGTAGTTTCCACACTACCTGTAGGGATTTAATTTTTGTCCTTTTGATGTCTATTTAAAAGTGTCCTCATTTTTATGTATACTTCCGGATTTATTGTGCACCAAAGGCAAAGTTTTCGTAACTATCCTTTCCTTTTGTACCTGTCAGAACTGTGTGCAAACCAGGTATTTAGAAATTTGTGAGATTTATACTTCCGAAAATCAATGTAAGTGCACAAACTGCACAGAAATTACATATGCACAGTATGGTGGAAAGTTTTAAAAGCTATCATGTAGTATTTCAGAAATGTGGCTACAAATTTTGCTAGGCAGTCTGGTGGGGTTTTTTTCCGTGGCATTGGCAGACTACTCAGGTTGAGTCCAGGATGCAGTAGAAGCACTATATGGAATACTCCATCTGTAGAAGAGAGACTCGTTACTGATCCTTTTCTCATGATACCTGAATCTCCTGCTCTTTTGAGCTGAATGTGTGATGCCCATTGAAGTGAACAAACGACAGTCTTATTTTATTTCAATATAAATTAGTTGCTAGAATTTTGATCCTTCAAAGTAGAGGGATTATTTTATGATACTATTATATTATTATTTTATTATGTATTTTTGAATAGGCTGGCTCTAACTAACATAGATGTAAATATCTGCTCTTCCATTTTTGACAGGTCCTCCAAACAGTAGAAATGGGAACTGTACTTCATTTTGAGAAATGTTGAGATAAATTTCACTTGGAGAGAATAGTTATTGCTCATACAGGAATAACTTAAGATGCTGGATATCATCCTTTTATACATACCCAGGAAACTAAAGAGTCTAGTTCCTTGCATATCAGCATAGTTAAATCAATTTATACTAGCCAAATATCTGTCCTGTTATGTCTTAAATAATTTTATTTCTGATAAATAAATTACAAATGAAGTATTTAGCTTTTATTTACTTTTCTGAAGCATTCTTAATGACCTCAGTAGGTACAGGTTGTTACAAGTGATACTGATGCATCTTAGGTTTACTTTCTTAAAACAGAAATCTTTTTCAAGGCAAACTCATTTGACTGTTTTATGATATGCTTGATTATTTTTTTTCTTATTTCAGGTAAATATGCTGAAGATATATTTGGTGAACTTTTCAATGAAGCACACAGTTTCTCATTCAGAGTCAACTCCTTACAAGAACGTGTAGATCGCTTATCTGTCAGTGTTACACAGCTCGATCCAAAGGAAGAGGAATGTAAGTTAACTCCTGCATTGAAGATTTCTTATTTTGTCACTCAGACACCATTGATATATGAGATGGAAATATTAACAGTTTAAATTATATTTATAAGAACACAGAGCAAAGCATCATGAGAGAGAGATCCATTTCTATTTCTGCTACAGGTTTCTTTGATAGCCTCAAGCAGCCTTCTGAGCTCAACATTTTCATGGTAACTGAACAGTACTGTTACCAATGAACTTATACAAAAACTGCTACAGGTGTATGTGTAACTTCAGTAGTATTGTGTATTCGTGTTAATAGTATTAAAAGTAGTATGTGAATGCTTAGAGATAAGTCTTCACCCTTTTTTTAACCTTGCTAGTAATTCCCATGAGACGTAATCATTTGTCCAAGTAGGGGTTTTGCATTTGACTTGTTACCATCTTACATTCTGTATGAAGTTATAGTTGTATAGCTCCGTTTATTGACACTATATATCTCCTTGGATTCTTCCTAAATAGCTTTGAGTACTATAAATATTGGTTAGCACTGAGAAAAAAAGTACTTCCAAAAGTCAATAGGGTATGGCTCATGCCTATAAGACAGAATTTATATAGGATTTAAATGATGCATACACTTTGTGATGACTAGAGGAGCAATGACCACCTGATATGCAAATGCCATGAAGCTTTTCTGCCTTTCTGGATATCTGTTGGTTACAGGTGAAACTGTGAAAGGTCTTGTAACGCCAAACAGTTTTAGGGTGTTCTAGACTATTCGGCTAAGACCTAGAGAGTAGAGCAACATCATCCTGTCATGAAAAATAACTTCAGATTGCTTGTGGGGTCCGATTTTAAATTATAGAAAGCGGTTTCAGTTCTGAATGTCTGGGTATAATAGTTGTGTGTCATTCAGGAAAAATGAAACGTCAAACCCAGAAGCACGGTCTTCAGGCTGTGTTTAGTTAGCGATGTCAAAATTTCACTAATAGCAAAATAAGCTAAGGAAGTTTTGATTCTGTACTTTGTGTGACATCAGTTTTAGAGCAGGTTTCGAAAGACAGCTGTTCACAGCTAGTAGCAGATTTTCCACAAAATCGTGACTTGCCTAGGGGAATTCTTACATTAATGGGATTTTCCAAGACTCTTGACAACTGAGCATAAATCATACACACACACCTTTTTTTCCAATAAAATACTATGTTTACTATGATTGGGTAATGACAAAAATCCTTTCTGTGTACAGTAACAAATTGTCAGCAGTTGTAATCTTGTAAGAGCTGTAATACTCCAGAGTGTTAATGTCATTGCTGCGTTTACCCTTGACAGCCTAGTTTTTGGTTAAAATCAGAGTGGGGTATACGTTGCTGTGGCATATCTAGTATGGCAGCCATTCACATTTCAGGAAAATGGAGCGACCATTTTAAGTCATTGAGTAAAAGCATCTAAGGATGTTACAGGATAGCAAGATGCAAAATTGTACTTTCATGTGTAAATGGCCTTTGACAAGTTTGGCTGTAGGTTTCAGTACTAAATACCCATAACTATTTGACATTAGAGAATTGCTAGAAATATTTTAAAATAGTGTGTAGTCCCAAATGCACCAGATCAATATCTTTTCACAGTACTGTGTATACTGGAGCATTTGCTAAACTGTATAGCCAATGAAAAGGACAGACACCACAATTAAAGAAAACAGGGCTGAAAAGAAGTCTACTTGATCAAGTCCAGAGTTACTAAGTGTGATTCAAATCTGATACCCTGGATTTGTCTCTCATGCCATGGAATAGCAGAGACTGCTAGTACTTCAGAGGAACACATGCAGTCCTCAGTGTCAGGAACTATTAAATGACTATTTTTATTAACCTAAGAATATTCAGTCCTTCAGCCATACCCAGTGATCCTTATTCACAAACATCTGCCCAGAATGAGTCACCAGATGAGGACAAAGGAGATGAGAGGAAATTCAATATTATATTTCCTTAAAAATTAGAGATGTGGAAACTGTTTCTCCTTCAGTATTCTGTTTTGGGCTTGAAATTTAGAAATTCATAACAAATAGTTTTGGTTTAGTCCTTATCTGGGCTAAAATAGCTGGAGGATGTTAACTCATGAAAGTGTGGGGAAAACATTTGGATTTACCTTTCTTGCCTTTCTTAACCCTCTGTGCAAGAATTAAGCAAATTTCAGTACTTCTGCTTGGCTAGCAGCGTGTGTAAATTGGGCTATACTTGTAAAATGAATCTCATTTGCTAGTTCTTTGCCAGCAGGCAGTAATGGGAGATTTAATGTCTTCCTTTGGGCCCATGCTATTACACAAGAGGAATAAATTAAGATTCATTTTAAGCTAAGTGGTATGAACAAAAACAGCCCAAGTGAAGATTCACAGAACAAAGTACAGATACTTGACAAGGTGTTTCTGGTAGAGTCAAAGGAATAAAAAGCTCTGAATTTTTTTAATGGTTTGTATGTTTTCTCATTTTTAATTATTACAATATCTCTGGGAAAGAATAAAACAAATGAAACCAAGGTTAGGACTGTGTCCTGAGGGAGCTATCTCCTGGTGCACAATCTTTCTGTCACAGAAGAACTGCTATGAACTTGATTTGGTTTGAATTATTACACTGTTTTCTAATTCTTGATTTCACAGAATTATTAATTTCATATTGTAATTTTTTTTTGCATACTTTCTTCTTTTTACATACATGGGGTTTTTTTTCCCCTCAGAAAAATACTAAACTTGCATAAAGACAAAAAGAAATCCTCTGCTTTCCTGCAGTAAACTGAACTTTTTTTCAATTGTATGGGAAACTAGCCTATATGTATTCAAGAGTTATCATATCTGGGGTCTTTTTAGGGCTGGGAAAACACATTTTTGCTATGGACTTGAACTAAGGTTGACAGTTTCAGTAGTCCTGCAGTATAAGATGTTCTCATAGGTCAGAAAATAAAACTGAAGAGTATAGTTTCTTTGCAACCATTTTTAATTTCAGTATTTACTTTATAAAAAACATTACTAACTCCATATATACGCAAATTTTGTAAGTATAATAATCAATTTTTGTTAATTTACCAAGTTCTTCTGAATTTATTTGTGCCATTAAGCTAACTACTACTACAGGTAAATAATTTCATATCTGTAGAAATCTGACAGTTTTTAAAAGAATATTCATTTTAGCTTTTATGTTGTTCTTTTTTGCAATGCTGGCACACAGTACAGCTCTGATGTACAGTGTAATGAAGTATTAGAAAATAGTTGTGTATCACTCAAATAAATGGTATCGTGGCAGAAAGAGAATTCATAAACTAAGAGTTTATCTGCGTATTTTGTTATTGATTTAGTGGTTCTTTAATATGAACTGCCTAATTCTATTTAAATCTCAAACTGGAGAGATTTTAATCTCAAAGGCAGTGTATCAGACTCTTGATTTCTACAGCATATCTGTTACAACTGGGAGAAGCAACCTAAAAATCTTAATGGCAGAAGTGCTACGGGTGAGCAGCCTGACATACTTCAGGAAACGAATCAATGTTGTGAATTGTAATTCTGTAGGTTTCTGGCTTTGAATACATGTGCTTGGTTTTTTCTAAGCATTCTAGAAATACTGCCTTGTCATAAAAAGGACAGCAGTTCAGGAGTTTTGCTGGTTTTATGCTAAAGAGAGACTTAAGGGTTTGCTATAGGCAAAATGGTGGCATCTGGTGGGGATATACCTAAAAAGCTTGACAACTAATTGTGGTCTGTGTTCTTCTGAAGATGGGAGACTCGGTCAACTTTCAAATTAGGATACCCAGCCCATTTTGAGACTTAGAAGGAAAGGGTAGCGAATCCCATTTTAAGGGGCAGCTCGCTTATCGTCTCTAGCCTATGAAGAGGAATTTGGTGACTTAAGTATAAATGTAATCAAAGTTAAGAACGGGGAGCAAATGAAAATTGGGTCATGACCTCCACATGTAGTATGTTAATGTGGAGAATAACACTGTTGTCAGTTCATTCATAAGAATTTTAACCCCCAAAGTCAAAGAAAAAGATTGTTAAATTGTATAGCAGGTCAATTTTCCTGACACATCTCCACTTAATGAAAGTTGGATTTGAGTGCATCTACTTCTCAAAGACCTGCACAGATGGGCTGAGCTCCAACTGCTTTCTATGCTTTTTCTTCCAATTATCTTAGTCCTCAATTCAATTTATGGGTTATTTAGTAAGTAAATCAGTTTTAAATTAGTATGTCCAAGGCTTAATAGTTCAACGGTAAAGTCATGATATTGCATAATTTGTATTTTGTATATAAAAAGAGGGATCTGGACAAAATGTCATTTGCTAAATAATGTGGCAGTTTTGTTGAGACTCACCAGCAGATCTGCTGCTTGATGCAGCTGGGTGATTTACATCTTCCCGAATGGGCTGCTTGAGGCTCCCTGGTTCTACACATTGCGTTTAAAGCAGCTTCTGACTCCTCTTAACTTGATTGCTCTAACAATTACATCTTCTCTTTCTTTACCTTGTAGTAGTTGAGCTACATACATTCTCTAACCAAACAGTGCTTGAGCTGGTTTGGATTTTTTTAAATCAGTATTTCAGAAAATTTGATTTTTTTGTATTGGGGACAAGTCCAAAAGACAGTAGTTTCTGTTCTGGAGAAGTCATCCATCTGCTTAGCAACTGTTAAACCTGCAGTGACAAGTCAGAAATATTCTGATGGCAGAAAAACGTAATATGTGTGTGTTGTAGGCATTGTTGAAGTGGATATTAATTTTTAAAAAAAAATAATATATATATATATATAAAGTAGAAATCACATGTGAAGATTGCAGCTTCTTGAAGAACTGAATCACATAAATCTTTATCTGAAGAGAATTTTCAACCCCCCTCAATTGCCTACCTTTAACTGGAATCTTATTACTATGTTGTTCATTTTATATTGTCATTCTTTCTTCCCTGCACTTTTCAAATCGCTCTGTCAGATTTTGAACAGAGAAGGGGAATTGTGGGCAGCTGAGTCCGCTGATTTGTATATAATTTCCCATAGTCAT